CTGTTTATTCACTTCACTCGGTGGTCTGGGCTGGGCTGTACTTGTGGGTGCTGTTTCCTCAGTACAGCCTGATATGGAGAAGAAAACTTATGTGTTCTAATTCCAAACCTAATCAGAGTGCATTGGTAGTACCAGCTGCTCCTCTAGCAGTGTTATCTCCCCCAGCTTTCTCTGTGGAGGTCAACAGTTTAGGTCAACAGCTTCAGGAGATTTTGTTATTCCCTAGGAGCTCACCTTTTTCCTGCTGGACAACATCCACACTAGACCTGGTACCAAGCAGGCACCATTCCTTCTCAATGATTTAGGTTCTGATATTCTGATTATTACTTGGAGCATGTCAAAAATATGTAAATGTAGCTTTAAATGTTCTGTTGACTCCTTTGTGATGATTAATAATACTTTAGAACACACAGCTATGCATCATTTTTCTTCCAGTACCCAGGTAATGAGTCTGAATCAAATTTTCAGTACATATTGTTAGGTGTATTAGGTGGAAGAAGAGTTTTATCAAACCCAATTATTCTTATCAGAGACGTTTTCATATTGTACTTTAAAATTTAAACCACTCTCCTGTAGAGTTGGAAAGCTGGCTGAACAAATGTGAAGTTAAATAGCCTATATGTCAAGGTAGATGAATTGTAAACACTCTCTAAGTGCTGAGAAGTAATTCTAAGGCAGCAGTTCTCAACCTTTTTACTCTTGAGACACTCCTCTGTCATTTTTCTAAATTTAGCTGCACCCCATTTAAAAAACTAATTTATTTATTGCAGTGCATAAAAATAATGACTGAAAACACATTTCTTAAACAAAATGAAAAATCATGCATGATAGCCATGGTATGATAGTATTATAATAAATTAGACACTGGAGCCTAGCGGTTCTTGCAAATATCTTTCATTGGTTGATCACAACAAACAATACAGCCCATTTGACTGGGTGCTTGACACTGACTCATGTCAGTGGAGGGTAGTGTGATGTCACACTGCATGAGAAGAGCTGAGCTCAGCTGACCCACCCTGAACGGGATGTACAAGTAATTCACTAATGTGACTTCCTTCACTCACAGAAACAGGAAAAGACACCTCTTTGTTTTCACTTGTTTGTTGATTCTGAAAAATGAATAGAGCAATTCTTCTGTTGCAAAAAATTCAGACCATAATAGGTCAGACTGTTTGTATTTGAAATATCTGTGAATCATGCACACGTTTGCCTGCCTAAAAGTGCTAATATTGGGTGCCTGTAGACATTCAGGGATGCTGCTCTGATGCGCTGTAATTACATAACATTGGAGCAGGCTTAATTAAGACTTGAGCAGCCTCTGCGTCTCCTGTATTCAGCATCCCCATGCTTCAAAATGGTTGCGGGGGTGCTTTAACTTAGGCTTATCAGACAAGTTTTAGTTAAAGCACCCCTGCTGCCATTTTGAAGCATGAGAAACTGAATACACATGATGCTGCAGGCACTTTAATTAGAGCAGCTCTCGATCCTCCCTAATTAAAGCATCCTCTCCCCTCCCCATCCCCCCACAGATGTAAAATGTCCATTTTTTCACACCATTAACAAAAGAAGTAACTGCAGTAGCTTAATTCCTTTACTTAAAATATCAACTCAATCTTATTCTAGATCTCTGATCTTGTCCCATTAATTGATATCATGTATGGTTTTTCCTTTCAAAAGAAATGTTTGTTTACAGCACCCTGAGGTGCCGCAGGATCCTTTAAATAGAATGGTGCTGTGAGGAGATAAGCAGAAAAGGTAAGTAGATAAACACAACCTCAGGCTTGTCTCTGCCTGAATGATCCACTGCCCCACTGCCCACCAGCCCCTCTACGAGGAGGTAAGCACTACAATATATAAATTTGTTGTTTAAATTAGTTGCCACTGAATTCACAAAAAATCATGGAAGAGTGCTTTGAGTCCAATGAAGGGTGCCTAGAGTCTAAAAAGAATGAGAACCACTGGTATACAGAGTGTGCTTTATCTGTGAATTGCTTATTGGTATCTTGTTCTGTGAGACCACAAAGCTTGTTTCTGCCACCTACTGTGCAGAAGACAGAATGCTGCGACGTATTGATAGTTGTCTGTTGTGTATGTTTTTTTCTCCTCAATGTCCCCTTCTCACTAAACTTAATTTTCCCTTCTGATGCTAGGCTTATTATTTTATAGTTTGTGTATGAAAAAGTGTTTTTGTTGCCTTGACACAGTTTTTTCACACTGTTACTGTCATCTCTGGCATAATTATCTTGAAGCTCACTTGGCTTTTAGCCATAAAGCTAGTATTATGGTTTTTGTTTTATAAACTTTCTATAGTAATTCTGCTTCTCAAGTATGTGAATTTGCTCCATCTACTTCTACTGTTTTGTCTTACAACATATTAACTTTAATCCTATTACATAATAGTTTTGTCAGTTTGTCCTCTGTAATATCCTTTTACAATTAATTCATCTTAGAATGAGTTCACAAAATTATCCTGCAATGCATTCTACAGTCAAGTTTTTAGAGAACTAAGACAAATCTATCTCAATAATATTGGATATATGGATTACTGTCAAGATTTAATAGGCATAGGTCCTTAATCCCTAAAAATGTTACTGCACTAACTTTAGTAAAAATGTTACTGCACTAACATTTCTGGTTCAAAATCAACTCAAAGTATTTAGCTTCGAGTCAAAATTATTTCTTTTCCCTCAAAGAATATATCTTGTTTTTAAGTCACTTGAAGTATTGATAAACTCTTTCCCAATGCAATATAGTTATGTAAAATCACTTCTTTCTAATTGTCACACTTACAGAATATCAGATTCAAAAGTTTCATTTATTTAAAACATTTTTAATTGACAGTGATGGAATAGTTCTGCAGATCCCTCCATATTTTATCACCAAAGTAAATTCCATTTTCAATGTGTCTCACAAGACCATTTGAGGTTGTAACCCAAATCCTGTCAGAAGAATAATACAAGGCACCAGATGAAAATGCAAATCATATATCTAATGTACGTAAATGGCATTGATTCTGAGAAAATCACCATTCCCCTTATTTTAAAAAAGAAATGTAGTTGGTTTCAACACCAAGATTATCACTGTTAACATTAATTAAAGTGGTATATATCAAGACAATGCAAGTTTCTCTATTGTCAATAGACTTTGCAATGTATGATGTCAGGAAGATGTTTTCTAAAGGTTGCAATAAGGTAGAAAGGATGTAACAGTAGAAAATCTCCACTTCCCTTAAATGTTCTAAACTTACTCTTCAGTTTTCCATATATGCAAAGGAGCAAATAAACACGAACATGAAAAGTAACAGAGGTTCTCCATAGAAATGAAATAATCAGGTACCTTATTTAACCAGCTAGGGACAAATTTTTTTCTGTCACACTCAAAATCATGGCAAAAATACAGTAGTATTTATTTCAGTTAGGGATTGGAACATTTCAGTCTTCTAATAACCAGAATATTTTCCAACCTTCTTTCACAGTTAGCTGTTCATCATTAAATTAACTTTATCATTGTTTCATCTTATTTACAAATTCATTGTAGCCTAAATCTTTATACGCTTTTATTTAAACTGTGATAATAATGTATTTATTTTTTCATTCACAGGATTATTATAGAAGGAAAGAATTAAAGACACTACTAATCTAGCTGAATGTATAATGCAAAACTGCCATTTTATGTTGGAGCTATCATTAGAAAGTAAAATAATAATGTATATATAAATAAATAATTTGTAAATGTGTTTTATAATTCTTTTAAAACATAATTTTATCAAATTACCTCTGTATTGTTTCTAAAAATCTATAAGAAGTCAGTCCTTCATTTTCTTTCAGTCATTAGTTATGTTTGTAAGTGATGATTTCCCACATTTATTAATTTGAATATATTGTGTATTTTCACAATCTGCCTTACAACTCCCCTGGGTTTTTTAATTAACTAGCTTTTCTACTTGGCAATTTAGTTCTCAACTATTTTATGTTGATTAGTTAGTACATAGTTTGTTTCAACTATTTGAAAAATAAGAGTGTTTGTGACTCCATTTTTAGTTTTGTTATTTTCACTAGTAGCCTTGTCAAGAAAAATGTCTAATTTTTTGTCTCTGTAAGTTTTCTTACAAAGTTTCTCTCTCTATATACATATTTTTATACATTTGTTTTTTTACTAGGTGGTTGTGAATGCCCTTGTAGGAGCAATACCATCTATTATGAATGTCCTTCTGGTTTGTCTTATATTCTGGCTTATCTTCAGTATCATGGGAGTTAATTTGTTTGCTGGCAAGTTCTTCTACTGTATTAACCTCACAGATGGGCAACCTTTTCCAGCAAATACAGTTCCATATAAGAATATTTGTGAAAGTTATATGGAAAAAGATGATAATGTTCAGTGGAAAAATGTGAAAGTAAATTTTGACAATGTCGGAGCCGGCTATCTTTCTCTGCTTCAAGTAGTAAGTGGCCATTTTTTATATATATTTTATAGCTTAATTTCCCATGTTGTATGTTGAAATGAAGATTGATTCTCCATTTATCATTATCATCTCATCACATGGCAGTACGTACTATGTTACGAAAATCTAGGGGTCCTTAGAAAGGAAGTTGCTATTAGGATGCTTAAAATCAGGGTTCCTTGAAGATGAGCAAAATATCCAAAAGAGAGGTTATGTACTTATATTTGAGATTACTTCCTATTTCTTTAATTATTCTTTGTTTTTGTTCTGTGCAAGCAGATTAATGTTGATAGTGGTACAAATCCAGCATGCTCTTTTATAGACTCTGGAGAGAAGGAGTGTTTAACTACAGCCCAAATGCAAATAAAAAAGGACTGGTGAGCCTTCCCCCTACCTCTTCTCCCCAAATAAAAGAAGAAAAAGTTTAAGGCTCATCCTAAGTTCATGAAAAAATTCTAGAAATGTTCTAGTATCACATAGCCCTAGATTTTTATTTATGCCATCTGACAAGTTGTAGACAGACATCAGTGTTTTTTACCATGGTAGTCAAATACATTTCCAAAGCTCATCTGCTTGTCAAAGCAAAAAGTTATGTGGAAGGTTAAATTTTGGCAATTAATGCAGAGAGGGACCAGGCAAAACTGATTTTAAACCATAGTTCCCACTTTTTTCTCTGTCCATATGGTGTGCTCTCTGTTTTGTTCTAGTATAATCACTTTTGAACCATTACCAGTTATTCCATTGATTTATTTTGTGTTATTCCAAGCCAAAAGTTTCAATGGAACCTCTTAGTGCTAGAATTCAGAGCACGGGAACTTTCCTTGTAGAACCATCTGCAGAGTAAAACCAGTTCAGACAGGAGCATGCATTCCAAATTGACTTCACTTGGAACAATGGCCTGGGAAAATATTTGTCCTCATAAGCCCATGGTAATTATTCTCACTCACTCTGGAGCTAGTCCTGCTTCCATGGTAGCATGCTCCCGTTTTGTTTGCTCCTGGTCTGCAGTGAGGGCCAGTGCCTAATGTTAATGAGCTCTAGCAGTTTCATAATGATTTCATCAGTGCCTCTATCTCTTACATGCACCACATTGGTAGGTTTACTTGCATATTTATATATGAATTACACATACAATCTGCAAATAGGTATGTTGCTTTTAATAAAGTTACATTTGTAAAATATTGTATTATGTGGAATTACCTGACATTGATACTTACACAGTAGATATTACAGTAGTAGGAACACATGGTTTTACTGGTTTTTAGCTTAATTGAAAAGCACTTATTAAAACAAGAGACATGCAAATGCCAATAGAAAATCTCTTTCAAATAACCTTTTGATTTAACAAAACTCATGTCAGCTGTGTCAATTTGTGCTTGAATATTTGAGCAATATTTTTCACATTAATGTTAGCAGAAAGTGATTTCAACTACACAGAAAGAAGTTCGATTTAATAAGGAAATACAGGGAAGGGGAGAGTAGTTTATCAGTTACTTCCCTACTACAGTCCACTGTTTCCCCAAAATGTTAGTGGCAGTGTGATAAATCGACATATCTCGCTTGTGCATGCCAAAGTTGCTGCAAATACAGATGCATTGTGTACCAGTACATTTATGACTAGTACTTTATCCATGGTTATTGGATCTCTCTTGCCATTTGATCTTCAAACGGCATTTTGGCTTCTAATATTCACTGCTTCTCTGCTCCACCATATATTTTTACAGTGAAAAATGACAGTTCATCTACCTTTTGGAAACCATCAATACCTAGGGAATATTCCAGCACTTCTTCCTTGGTCTTTCCTCATTAAAAATTTTGGTTTCTCAGATATTTGATATCCTTCTAATTCCTTTCAGTAGCAGCTGTCTGAGTCCAAACTGCAAAAAAATTAGTGGGGTGGAGGAAATATTTGAATTACTTACAGGCGCTTCTAGGTAAATTTAGAAGAAAACATATGGGTATTCTTGTAGGTAGCTTGATGAAAACAATTGTTCAGTACTCATTGGAATCTGAAGAAGTAAAAGAAAGATTAAAATGATATGCTTAAGGTTCCATCTCATATTTGGAATATTCAGTTTCTGGTGGGCAATGCTAGTCTCCCCACCCCCACCCCCAGTGCCCCTTCCTGTTGCAGGCACTGGGCTGGGGCTGCAGTCAGGCCAGGCGGCAGGTGCTCTGCAGGCTTCTGGGCTGTACACTTGACCAGTTTGGCCGAGCTGCTTGCCAGAGCTTTAAACTAAGCTTGCCCGGGGATTGGCAGACAACCATCAGAACAAGTCCAGGAAGAGTCAAACACATAGTCAGCAGGTCAGGAAATACAACCAAACTTACTCCTACCCCATCTCATGGATGGGATGCTCCCAAGTGCACAGAGAAGCCTAGGGCTTCCCATGGCAGACTTAGCTGCCTATACACTAATGCCAGGAGCATGGGGAACAAACAGGAGGAACTGGCCCTCCTGCTAAGCAGTAACAAATATGATCTCATAGGGATAACAGAGACTTGATGGGACTCTACTTAGGCCTGGACTACAGGTATAGACGACTATACTTTATACAGGAGGGATCAAGCTGATAGGAAGTGTGGGGGTGTAGCTCTGTTGGTCAAGGAGCAGTATATTTCCCTACTAGCTGACATTAGCACCCAAGAAGGGTGACTTGAAACCTTCTGGGTTAGAATAAGAGGAGAACATGGTGAAGGGGATATAACCAGAGGAGTCTATTACAGACCTCCTAACAAGGAGGAAGAGCTTGACCATGAATTCTCTAGGAAACTAGCAGAGGTGGCACGCTCTTGGTGCATGATTGTCATGGGTGATTTCAACCTCGCTGACATCTCATGGGGGGAGTATGCAGCCAAATCTGATCAGTCATTTAGTTTCCTTGCCTGCTTTGATGAACTATATCTGACTCAAGAAGTCCACGGGCTGCTAGATCTGGTCCTGGCCAAAGGGGATGATCTTGTCAGTGACCTGGCGACTGATGGGAAGCTCGGTAACAGTGAGCATGAATTGATCACCTTCCTTATCCATCACAGAAGTGGCAAATCAGTCAGCAATGCAGAAATCCTTGACTTCAGGAAAGCTGATTTTCACAAGCTCAGAAGGCTGGTTGTTGAGGCCCTGAATGATCATGATATGACAGGGAAGGGAACCCAAGATGGGTGGTCACTGCTTAAGGACATGATCCTAAAAGCACAAGGGAAGTCCATCCCAGCCCACAAGAAAAGTAGTAAAAGGGATAGGAAACTCTCTTGGCTAAACAGGGAACTCATGGACCCTCCTTAGTCTTAAAAGAGAAGCCTATAAGGGTTAGAAGATGGGTAATACCTCTACAGAGGATTATGCAGGACTGGCCCACACCTGTAGAGAATGGCCCAAAAAAGCCAAGGCCAAAACTGAGCTCAGGCTGGCTATGGGAATCAAGGGCAATAAAAAGTCCTTTTTCAGATATGTAGGAAGTCAAAAGAAATGGGCAACATTGGATCCCTGCTGAATCAAATGGGGCAGCTGACAACTGACACCCAGGAAAAACCTAATCTCCTGAATGATTACTTTGCATTGGTTTTTCACCAACCCAGGGGGCTCACCCTGCTTGACTGAACACAGGATTATGAGTGTATGGGTGACCATACACCTACATTTGGTGAAGACCTTGTGAGGGAGCACCTTGAGAGGCTGGACATCCATAAGTCAGCAGGCCCTGATGAAGAGTGCTAAAAGAGTTGGGGGGGACAGGGGAAAGAGGTTGATGTCATATATTTGGACTTTAAAAAAGCCTTTGACTTGGTCTCCCACAATGTCCTCATGGCAAAATTGGGGAACTGTGGCCTTGACATCCTCATGGTCCAATGGCTGGGGAACTGGCTTCGTGGTCGGACCCAGAGAGTGATGGTCGATGGAACCGAGTCACATGGTGCATGGTGACAAGTGGTGTCTCTCAGGGTTCAGTACTCAGACCAGTACTCTTTAATATATTTATTAACAATCTGGATTGGTGTGTCAGTAGTGGACTGGCTATATTTGCAGATGACACCAAACTGTGGGGAAGTGAGGATACACTGAAGGATAGGTTGAGGATCCAAGCTGACTTGGACATTGTCACAAGGTGGGCAGATGAAAACCTGATGACCTTCAATATAGAAAAATGCAAGGTGCTTCACCTCAGGAGAAAGAACCCACACCACATGTATAGGCTTGCCAGTGCTTCACTCATTAGCACTGTGTCTGCAAGAGACTTGGGGGTCGTGATTGACCACAAGATGAATATGAGCCACCAATGCGATGTGCAGCCAGCAAAGCAAATAAAACCCTGGCTTGCATCTACCGATGCATCTCAAGCAAGACCCAAGATGTAATTCTCCTATTTTACTCAGCCTTGGTGAGGCTGCAGCTGGAGCATTGCATCCAATTCTGGGCTCCACACTTTAAAAAGGATGTGGAGAAGCTTGAGAGAGTCTAGAGGAGAGCCACACACATGATCAGAGGTCAAGAGAGCAGGCCTTATGAGGAGAGGGTGAGAGACACAGGACTCTTCATCTTGGAAAAACATAGGCTCAGAGGGACTTGGTGGCAGCATATAAGTACATCAGGGGTATACATCAGGATGTGGGAGAGCATCTGTTTACCAGGGCTTTCCTAGGGAAGACTAGGTCCAAAGGTGACAAATTGCTGGAAGACCGTTTTAGACTGAACATAAGGAAAAACTTGTTTACTTGCCTAAGTCTCCAGAGTCTGGAACACTCCCTCCAGTGGGAGCAAGTATAAGCACCTACTCTGGATACTTTCAAGTTGTGCTTGGATGCTTATCTTGCTGGGGTTACCTGACTCCAGCTGACTTTCTGCACTTTGGGCAGGGGGCTGGACCCAATGATCTCACACGGTCCTTTCCAGCCCTAATGTCTATGAAATCTATGAAATAGAATCAGTATTGGCTGATATGGGTTGTTCATAATCGGCCAACAGTATTGGCCCAAAAAAATCTATATTGGTGCACCCCTAATAGTTTAGTTTAGAGAGAATAGGGCTTAAAAGGGGCCATGACAGATGTGCGGAGTACTTAATAATATGATGGGGGCAGATGAATGCTTTTGTTATTTCTTAATGGACAAGAAATAAGACGTCATTTGGTAAAATATAGTATTAGTTATTTGCATAACTAGCTTATGGAACTTGGTTTCACAAGATACTCTTGAGGCTTGGTAGGATTAAAAAGGGGATTAATTTATACATGAACAGTTGAGACATAACACATACCAAGTATGAAACTTCATTTCCAGAGCATAAACTAAGCACTAACCAATGGGGTTAGAAAGAAACTCCCGAGATTATTCCATAACTCATTATGGGGTTTCTTGCATCTTTCTTTGAAGCTTGAGGGGCCAACCTCTGCCACAGACAGGAGAACATAAATTGTTATTCTGAAGGAATTGTGGTAATTCCTACAAGAAGTCACTGAGCTTGCTTAACATTTTGCTATTTCTTCTGGCATTGCTGTGACTGCAGTCTCTATGGGCAGTTATTTGTCTCTACACATGCTCAGTTTTTAAAAAGGCTTCCTGCCCCTGCTGCTCCTAGAAGCTGTTCTGACTAGAAGGTAAATCACTGCACTTGCACCTGTTTTATGAAATGGGGAACCTAGGCTTTTAGGATTAATTCTATATTTAAGTATCTACCAGCAAGGCACACAAATGTAATGCAAACTGAACAACAGGTGTCAGTGAAAAAAAATAACAAATACAGTTTCTTCCTTTTGTATTTACCAAGACCTGTACTGTATTGCCAGAGATAAGTAATTAGCCATATCAGAGGTAGTTAGGCAAGTCAGGCAGAAGGGAAGGTCGATATCTACCTTAGATTAATAGAAGCAAAGATGCATAAACTTTCTTGAGGCACAGCTCACTTTATCAGATGCTATGAAAGAACACACAGGCCATCAAATAGAAAGCTGTCTCCAACCACTTCTGCCTCTCAGCCCTACCCTCTCTCTCTCCTTTCTCCCCACTTCCCTGTCTTGTGTATTTAAATCACTAACTTCTATCTGATAACCTGCTCTCTGCTGTCCTTTCATAGCATCTGATGAAATCAGCTATGGCTAGTGAAAGTTCATACATATTTTATTTAGTTATTCTGTAAGGTGCATCTCTACCTTGCCTGTTGTCTCCAGGAAGTAGCATAGAGACATCAGGACTGAAAAAACTGCTGTCATTTCTTTTCTCAGCTCCATATTCAATCCCCTAAGTGGTTTGCAGGTGTTGGACACTAGAAGGAAGATAAATGCATCATATTATAGCAGTCTCCTCTTTTTTGATATACTTGTCCTATAGCACACTGCAGAACAACCATTATATTTTTTCTCCAGTCCTTCAGAATAACATGGAAAGATCATTTTTTCTTGAAGGAAGAATACAGCCTGTTCGGCTGAAACTTATTCTCTAAATATGCTGGCATCCTCTCCATTAGTGGGGAATGACCTTTTTGTCAGGGATGCTGCCTCCATGAGTGCCACTGCCCACCCCTGCCCAACCTACTGCTCTCCTTTCTTGTTCTTGCCTATCTGCAGCCATGTTCCCTGCCCCCTCCTTGATCTGTCGTGCCACACACAGAGACACTGCCTGTGTCACAGTGCCACAGTGCTGCGGGTTGCCCTGCCCCCTTACTCTGCATCATCCTGGTCATAGCTCTCAGCAGATTTTTTGTAATCTGTAAATTCCCTGCCTGACTGTTTTTGCCAGTTAGATTTTGAAACAAAAGTAAAACATATTAAACTGTGGTGACAACATACTCACTTGTGCCTGTGTTAGATATCTGTACTTACATACCCCTAAACAGGTTTTTCTTCAATCATTTCTTCTTTGACTATTTGCCTTTTTTTTTTACTGTGAATGCTGAGGACTAGAAAAGGAAGTTCTATTCTAAGATACTCCTTGAATATTAACACATTCCAAGCACTGCTAGCTTAAATCGGGACAAGAAAGGCACATCCAGACAAGCATGCATGTGCAGTTCATGGCACTGCAGACCTGGCTGCAGCACTGCAAACCACATACACCGCACGTGCAAGGGTTCACCATGCTGTTAATTTGCAGTGCAGGGGGGGAGTTGACACCAGGAGATCCCAATGTCAAAAAACCTGCACCAATAAAAAGCAGGATGGGAACGTGGCAGCAGTGCGCGCCACCCAAAACTAGAGCCTGGCTGGCCAGGGCCACACTCCAGCTGCTGGCCAAGCTTTGTGTGCCTGGATCGCCACCACTGGAGCTCCAGGTTGCCCCCAGGTGCTGGCCCTAGCCTCCCCTACCCCACCTGGTGCAACTTGCCATGCACTAGAGTATGTATGCAGGGGTGTTCCCCTGGGGACAGGTAGCAGCAGTACAAGTATATGGCGCTGCTTTTTGTCCCTGGGGAATGAACATTCCTGCTTGTGGGGACATGCATAAAGGTTATTACAGGAATCTCATAATATGTACATAGTGCAAGGAGAGAAGGACAGAAAACTAGGCACCAGTAAGTACAATGCCATTATTTAATGCAGGTTAGGGGAACATTTTATAAATGTAGAAGAGTCACAGGCTTGCTTCTATAGTCCTGGGCAGGAAATCTATTGTTAGATAAACCTGACAATAGCCTTTCCAAATGGGAATTTCTTTGTATTAATGTGACAGTAGAAAATTAAAGTAAAATGTGTTTGTACATAGCCAATAAATCTTATATTAGCTTGATTTTGGGGGGGGGAGGGGAACCTTGTCCCCCCCAAGGAAGGAAAATTTTAAAATTCATAAAATTTCTGGAGTCTGTTTATCTTATGTTTTTTCTCTTTATCGTGTTCATGTCTCCTTCCTGAAAAATCCAAGCTCAGTGGCTTATTAAACCTTTTCTCCAGTTTACAAGTCAGAAAAAGTAATATGACCATGTGCCTTTATTGCTGAGTCATGCAACTCAGAGATTAACTGTAACTCAGCTCAGGTATGAAATTGTGAAGAGTTTGCATAATGATAATTTAAACAATGAACAAATCAGAAAAGGCAACTAAATTGATAAATTATTTTTATGATTAATTTGCTCATCTTTTCCAAAGAAGCTGTCTCTAAATACTCTTTCATTGTATGGCCCTATGCAAGCTCAGTGTGAAGTATGATTGGGTTATAAGTATAAATGCTAGGTATTTTTTTTTCACCTGAAGTTTTACCCTAAAATTGTAACATATCAAATACTCTCTAGGCTACATTTAAAGGATGGATGAATATCATGTATGCAGCTGTTGATTCTGTAAATGTAAGTACAGTTTCTAACTTTATTTGTGTAACTTGGGTAGACTTCAACGTCTACATCATGCACATTTTATATCTAACTTGAATGGCAGTGATTGTGAAAATTTTAAAAATTGTCTAATGTTCTCTACAGACTTTGTTCTATAACGTAATTAAGAGAATAGTTAAATAACATTTATATTCTCCTCCAGCTATAGTTATACCTACATTTAAAACAAGATATAAATTTAAGAATTAAATATGCCAGCATGCAGCCAGATATGTGGGCAGTGAGATTTTTTTGAATTCCCTTTTTATGAGTTTAATAAAGCATTATTTAGCCTAGAACTGTATCTATCTGAAGTACAAAAGTACAAACAATGAGAAATCATTGTTAGACTACAGTTCACTCTAATGATATCTACAGTTGTTAAGGGTAGGTGGTGTCAGGCCCCGTATAGGACAGGAAGGGGGTTTTACAGGAAGAATGAGAGAGATTACTTAAATCACTGTTCATGGTCTTGTTCACTCTATGAAGCAATAAGAGGAAAATGATTTCTCTATTACTGGAAAATTTTAAATACTGGGCTAATGAAGAAAAAACTATTGACCCCTCTGTAATAACTTTATAGTATGTTCTGTATTTCCTAGGTGTATTTGAATTACTTGCACAAAGAATAAGAGCCAAAATCAAACAGAATGCCCTTAGTTTTATTTATTTATTTCAAATCTACTACTGTATATTGCTTCATGTTGTCTGTTTTTTGTAACAGCATATACTATGTTTTGTTTTAATTTTGTTTAATCTGATAGAATGTGTAAAATGTATCTATAATTTTGTTTAATCTATATTTTACTGTATTTTAAATTATTTATTTATGGCTTTTACCAATAACTTTAAATTATATTGCATATAATGTTATTGTCAATTTTATTTAATTGTTTTACTGAAAACTGTGAATAAACTACTACTCCTGCTACTACCAATTAAGTTAACGTGTTTCAGATGGGCAAAAAACCTTTTAATGCAAACTATTTATAATACATGTTACTACTTATAAATAGGCTCACAAAGACTAAGCATAATTAGATTACTGCTACAGCAACAGGTTGTTTTGTTAATGGAGTCTGATTCTTGCACCAGTTTTCAAAAATGGTCCCCATGAGTGCAGAGAAAAATTGTATCTGTACATGCAAACTGTCACTTACAAATGCACTTAAAATTTTCTATGTCCCGTTTACATATTCAGTTAAATATTTGTTGTATCTGTGTCCATGAAAATATGCTAGTGTAGGATTTTAGTAGGCAAATTAACCATGCTTTTGTGCTAATGTTTTGCTATTTCTTCTTTTTGTTTAGGTAAATATGCAGCCCAGCTATGAGCATAGCTGGTACATGTATATCTATTTTGTCATCTTTATCATCTTTGGCTCATTCTTCACTTTGAACCTTTTCATTGGTGTCATCATCGACAACTTCAATCAGCAAAAGAAGAAGATAAGTATCTTTATTAGTATCTCAGAAAAAGCTGAATTTTAAAGAAATGAATTGATCCTTACCAGATGGTTATTTTCTATGCAGGGACAAAAACAATTATTTTAACTTTCTCACAACAATAATAATAAAGAGAAAGGGAATAGAGAGAGCAACTGCTAAAACTGCTTTCTTTTTTGTTCTGTATAATGAGGCAATAGCCTTTAATTTTGAAAGTTTTTAAAAGAATTTAAACCTACAGTGGTAGCCAAAGACCACAATGTGTTGTTCAGACGATGCATATAGTTTCCTTCTTCATAAAACATGAGGGTATCAAAGGACTGTTCTAAGGAAAGTCATACCATTAATGCGATTCTGTGCATCTTGGTGAGAAATGTATGTCAAGAATTTGTTGTGAATCTTACAACTCCTTTCTCACCTCATTTTCTCACATCTCTTCACCTCATTTTCTGCATGTAGGAATCCTCCTGCCAAAGTGGTCTAAGTGGTCTAAGTGAATGCTACCCAGACTTTCTGGGATGTGGGCCAATTAAGTGGTTCAGGGCTGGTTGGCAGGCCAAATCCAGTAAGCAAGATTATTTTTGGCTGGTTGAATAGGCACACCTTCCTGGTCCCATGTGCATAGGATCAAACCTCTGTCCATGGCCCAGATCTCACACAGCCTGGCCCAATCCACCAGTCCTATCCAGCATAATTGGGCCAAGTCACCTGGCCATGGAAATGGGAAATAGGGCTGCAGGAGAATGGTGGCAGCATTAACTGCCACCATTCTACCACCAGATTTCTGGACCTGTGGGGAGCCCCACAGGCCACATGACACAGCTCTACAGCCTGGAGCTGGCCTGCAGGCTGCAGGTTAAGCCCCACTATTCTTGGGAGTGATACACAAGTTCCTTCTTGATTTGTTTGTGGTTAACTAAAATGCATAGAAAAAATATTAAATCTGCAAATACTGAAAATGTTAAAATTGTCTCTTGACTTTCTATCCATATGAATGTTTTACTGTTCATTTCAAGTGCTTAGTGGTGAGGGTTCATTTTACCCTTCACATTATCCAAGCCTCTCCATCTTTCAGCTTCCTCTATGTTACTTGGCTTCAAATTCTGCCCCATTTGCTATGGGGCAATGTTTGCTGCTGCCAGGCTTGCCAGGAGCTTCCACTGCCTGTGGAAGTCGTATATCTCCAACAAGAGCACTGTCTGCAAGTCATTCATTTCTAAGCCAGATTCTAGATTTACGTCATGAGTAAAATCATGGGGTCACTTTAAGATGGCAGAACTCAAGACTCATCCAGTGCAAGTTCTTTTTCTTGAAGCCTCTTGGCAATGGCATCCACTGAGAAACCATCCTCTACTGAGTCCACATCCAGAGAGAGCTTAAGGAAAAAATCCTATTACCTTTTAATTCAGATACTCTGCTTAGCCTGATAGATAAGATGGTTGTGGAAAAAAGTTCTCTCACTAACCACACATTGTTATTTTGAACACTTGGAAGCATGTACAGATTTCCAGTGACTTGAGAGATGTCACAATCATTACCATGTTCAAAAAAAAGGAGATGGATCAGGTTGCAGCACTTATCATGATATTACACTCCTGTCTATAGCTGGGAAGATCCTCACTTGCATTCTCCTCAGTAGACTCACTTTACTTGCTGAAGTTCTCATTGGCACCCAAGTTCCAATGTAGTTTGAGACCACTCAGAGGTATGAACTTTATTGCTAGACAGCTACACAAGAAATACCACAAACAACACTGAGATTTTTACATGGCCCTCGTTGACTTGATTAAGGCCTTTGATTCAATTAACAGGGAGGCCCTATGGAAGATCCAGATGTGATTTGGATGCCCACCAAAATTCATTACCATTATCAGACTCCTTCATAGAATCATAGAAAATTAGGATTGGAAGGGACCTCAGAAGGTCATTTAATCCAACCCCCCCACTCAAACCAGGACCATCCCCACCTAGATCATCCCAGCTAAGGCCTAGCTGTGTCTTAAAAACCTCTAAGGATAGAGATTCCACAACTTCTCTGGGTAACCTGTTCCAGTGTTTTACTACCCTCCTAGTGAGAAAATTCTTCCTAATATCTAATCTAAACTCACCTTGCTTCAAATTGAGACCACTACTGCTTGTTCCGTCATCTGTCACCACTGAGAAAAGTCTAGCTCCATCCTGTTTGGGACCACCTTTCAGGTAGTTGCAGGCTGCTATTGAGTCCCCTCTCAGTCTTCTCTTCTCTAGACTAAATAAGCCAAGTTCCCTCAGTCTTTCCTCATAAGCCATGTCCCCCAACCTCCTCATCATTTATGTTGTCCTCCTATGGTCTCCCTCCAATTTGTCCACATCCTTTTCGTAGTGGGGGCCCAAAACTGGACACAGTACTCCAGATGTGGCCTCAACAGTGCTGAATAGAAGGGAACATTCCTACCAATGCAGCCCAGGATGCCATTAGCCTTTTTTGCAATAAGGGCACACTGTTGGCATATATATAGCTTATTGTTCACGGTAACCCTCAGGTCCTTTTCTACAGAGCTGCTACTTATCTAGTCAGCCCCCAGCCTGTACCGGTGCATGGGATTGTTCTATCGTAAGTGAAGGACTTTGCACTTGTCCTTATCGAATCTCATGAGATTAATTTTGGTCCAATCCTTCAATTTGTCTAGGTCTCTCTGAATCCTAACCCTACCCACCAGTGTATCTACTACTCCCCCCAGCTTGGTGTCATCTGCAGACTTGATGAGGGTGCACTCTATGCCATCTTCCAGGTCACTGATGAAGATACCGAGCAAAACTGGCCCCAGGACTGACCCCTGCGTCAGTCCACTTGATACCAGCTGCCAACTAGACATAAAGCCATTTTGAGCCCAATGATCCAGACAACTTTCTATCCAGCGTACAGTCCATTCATCCAGCCTGTACTTCCTTAGCCTGACTGCAAGAATGTTGAGGGAAACCATATCAAAAGCCTCGCTAAAATCAAGGTATATCGCATCCATTGGTTTCCCCACATCCACAGAGCCAGTCATCTCATTGTAGAAGGCAATCAGGTTGGTCAGGCATGACTTGCCCTTGGTGAGTTCATGCTGACTGTTCCTAATCACCTTCTTCTCCTGTGCTTAGAAATGGATTCCTTGAAGATCTACTTCAAGGTTTTTTGCAGGGACTGAGGTGAGACTGACTAGTCTGTAGTTCCCTGGATTCTTCTTTTTCCTTTTCTTAAATATGGGCACTATATTTGCCCTGTTTTGATCATCTGGGACCTCTCCCACTTGTCATGAGTTTTCAAAGATGATGGCCAGTGGCTCTGCAGTCACATCAGCAAAATCCCTCAGCACCCTTCGGTGCATCCTATCCAACCCCATGGACTTGTATATAATCAGCTTTTCTAAATAGTCCTAGACCTATTCTTTCACCACAGTTCACCTCATCTCGAAACTGTGCTGCCAGGTGGTGTAGCCTGGGAGCTGACCTTACCTGTGAAGATTGAGGTGAAAAAGGCACTGAGTACTTCAGCCTTTTCTGTATTCTCTGTCACTGGGTTGCCTTCCTCATTCAGTAAGGGACCCACACTTTCCCTGATCTTTATCTTTTTAGTAAAATACTTGTAGAAAACCTTCTTGCTCCCCTTCATATCCCTTGCTAGCTGCAACTTCAATTGCACTTTGGGTTTTCTGATTTCATCCCTGCATGCCCGAGCAATACTTTTATACTCCTCCCTAGTTGTTTGTCCAAGTTTCCACTTATAAGCTTCCTTTTTGTGATTTAGCTTTCTGCTAAGCCAGGTTGGTCTTCTGCCAGACTTGCTAATCTTCCTGCACATTGGGATGCTTTGTTCCTGCACTCTCAGTAAGACTTCTTTAAAGTACAGCCAGTTCTCCAAGTCTCCTCTCCCCCTCAGTCTGGCTTCCCAGAGGATCCTGCCTATGAGCTCCCTGAGCAAGTCAAAGTCTGCTTCTCTGAAGTCCAGGGTCCTTACTCTGCTACTCTCCCACCTTCCTTTGCATAGGACCCTGAACTCAATCATCTCATGGTCACTGCTGCTCAAGTTACCATCTATTATTACATTCCCCACCAATTATTCCATTTGTGAACAGCAGATCAAGAAGAGCACAACCCCTAGTTGACTGCTTCAGCACTTGTACCAGGAAGTTGTCCCAGTACTCTCCAAAAACTTCCTTGATTGCTTGTGCACTGCTCTATTGCCCTCTCAGCAGATGTCAGGGCGATTGAAGTCCCACATGAGAACTAGGGCTTGTGATTGGAAACTTTGGCTAGCTGTTTGAAGAAAGTCTCATCCACCACTTCCTCCTAGTCTGGTGGTCTATAGCAGACCCCCATCACGACATCACCTTTTTTGCTTTCCTCTCTGAACCTAACCCAGAGACTTTCAACAGGCCTATCTCCAGTTTCATATTGGAGCTCTAAGCAATCATATACCTATGCAAATCATTATGAGCTTTTGGTGAAAAATATTAGGGGAGAGAGAGTGCACATATTCACTGCATGGTTACTACTAGGGCAAAAGTCTTCCAAGTTAAGTACTTGGGGCCCATATGCACCCATAGTGAAATGTACACATGAAAAATGCATCTTAAGAAACTACAGTTCTTATAGCAGCGTTTCCCAACATTCCGATAACCGCAGCACACCAGTGTGCCGTCAGGCACGTCCAGGTGTGCCATGGCATTTTGGGCTGGAGCCACACCCCACCGCCTGCTGCTGCTGTGGACACAGATAGATGGGGAGTGTCGCTCCAGCCAGGCAGGGGGCATACATGGCTCCAGCCCAAAATGCCATTTGAGTGGTTGTGCACCACCCCTCCCTATTGGCACCCAGATGCCAGCAGTGCTTTTTTATTTAGGTAAGTGTGCCATAGGGTGAAACAGTTTGGAAAAAGGTGTTCCATAGCATGGAACTTTCCTTTGTTCAGTGTTCCCAATACACATGTATTTAATACTCTCTGTGATATGTTACCCCCAGGAAATTTTTTATATGCCTTTTTTTTTTAGGTCATAGTCTTCTTCTATGTGACTGATTCCTCAGATCCTCTATTTTGGTTCTTGATAGAATGATTATCAGTACAGTAAATTTTTTGTATTCATATATATTTATTAGGGGTGTGTAAAGCTTCAGTAGCAAATTCAATTTGGAGGAGATTCAGCCTGATTTTGGGACCAAATCTCCAAATCCAAATTGAATCAGGAGATGAATTAAAAGCACTGAATCAATTTGAAGCATCTGAATCAATTTGGAAAAAGATTTGGTGATTCAGCCATAGACTAAACAGGCAGCTGACACACCTGCCTCCAGCTGGTAAGTCTGTTGGGGTTGGGGGAGGGAGTAGGGAAGGGACATGGGAGAGGAAGGGATTGGGGCTGCCCAGCCGGAGCAGGGGGGGCACGTTACTCAGGGTTGGGGGGCATGGGATGCGGGCACAGCAGTGCTTGGAGTAGGGGCTCTGCCCTGCTGCCACTTGTCCAGCTGGGGCGGGATGCGGACATGGCTCACTGCAGATGGAAGGGCGTAAGCAGCAGCAGGGCACAGCGCCTACTCCCAGGTCCTGCCGCACCCGCATCCTGCGCCCCTCCCGTGCCAGCTGCAAGTGGCGGCAGGGTAGAACCCCCACTCCTAGTGCTGATGAGGGTGCAGCAGCGCCGGCAGCAGAAGCTATGCCCTGCTGCTGCTTGCCCCCTTCCACCTGGAGTGAGCCATGGCCACATCCCATCTCCCCCCCTACCCTGGCTGGGCAAGCAGCAGCAGGGCAGACCTCTGCTCCGAGTGCTGCCACACCCACAGCCCTCTGCCCCTCTTCCCGAGTAACGCGCCGCTCCATACCGACTGGGCAGCTTGTCCCATCCCCAGTCCTTCCCTCCCTCCTCCCCCAACCCCAACAGACTTACCAACTGGATTTGAATCACTGTCCTCCAAATCAGCCGAATCTAAAATGAATACTTGCCTCTTCGCACAGTCATAATATTTATATGCAGGCTGAAAATTAGAAGTTTCTTAAACATTTTAGGCTTTGGATTCTGAAGTAGCCCTCCAACTGGAGTAGTGGGGCAAAAAGATTAACTGCTTTTAAGATGGAGTCAAATAAGTTTATTAAAGAGTTTTATATGAAAGACTGTCTGCCGAAGCAGGGCAGTGGAGTCAATGACCTCGGAGATCCCTATGAGTTTTATGTTTCTATTTGCGTCACTTAGTGAATTCATGTCTCTAAAGTTATAGTTGTAATTAGTTTTTATTTTACTACTTTACCTTGGAGGTCAAGACATCTTCATGACAGAAGAACAGAAGAAATATTACAATGCAATGAAAAAGCTAGGTTCCAAGAAACCACAAAAACCTATACCTAGGCCAGCGGTAAGAATGCCACCTGTTTTTTCTGTCATCTGGATTTGGGAACAAATCAAAATTGCAAACTAGGTATTAAACATTTCTGGCATCTTTGGGCTAGAAATAGAAATACATGCATCTTTCTATATGGTAAGATCATATCTAAATCACTCCTTGATGTCTTTCTCAGGAAGTACAAAACCAATCCATTTTCTTGAGGGGCATTTCATTTTGACAGACTTATTTTCTGCTTTGATTGCTTGTTTATTTTTAGATGTTATGCTTCTCTTGTTTTTCCTGCTCCTTATAAAAAGAAAGGGACTACACTGGGAAGTTCCTTTCTGAACTAGATCTCCTCAACTATTTTCTTCCTATATATTTCTGGGTGGGGATAAAATGTGTATTTTGTATCTGTAATTGTATCGCCCACTCTTTCATTTTTTCCAGAACAAATTCCAAGGTCTGGTGTTTGATCTTGTTACAAAGCAAGCATTTGATATCACCATCATGATTCTTATCTGCCTTAACATGGTCACAATGATGATAGAAACAGATGAACAAAGTAAACAAGTGACTGATGTTTTAGACCAGATTAACGTGGTCTTCATAGTCCTTTTCACTGGAGAATGTGTCCTGAAACTGTTCTCACTCCGCTATTATTACTTCAAAATAGGCTGGAACATTTTTGATTTTGTAGTTGTCATTCTCTCCATAATAGGTAAGAACTACTTATGTTCAAAAAGGAATGTAATGAAAGGATAAAAAAATATTTTAAGTATGCTACCACCTTTTAAATTTGTATTTAATAAATCAAAATTACAGGATCAGACAGGTAATTTTCACTTCCTTTAATTCTACACTAAATAAGAAATATATTATAATTGGGGTGACTGTATGGGAGAACAGGAATTCCAAGCACCCCCCTTCCTTTCCCAACCCTCCTAAGTCAGCAGCAATGCTGCAGGCAGAGGCAGGGTTGGGGTGGCATGGTGCACTGAGAATGGGGGGAAGCAGCAAAGTCTACTTGTCATGCTGTGCTTCTCTGCCTCCCTTCCGGACTGCAGCCTATGCCCCTATATTTCCGGGATACTCGTTTTAATTAGAATCAAAGGACCAGAAGAGACCTGCAAGTCTGGCCCCCTACTATAGGCAGGAGGTTATTGGGCTCAAACAAGCTCAACGAGGTGCTTAGCTAGCCTCCTCTTGAACACCTCAAAGGAACACCTCCAATTCTTACCTACCAGCCAGAACGAGCCTTCAAAATCTGGGACTGTCCCAGCTAAATCAGGACATCTGGATGTATGGTCACCCTAACTATTCTACTATGTTATTATTCTCCCTACTCCCTATTCCCCCTATGTTACTATTCTCAGTACCAGAGCTTCTGTTAAGTATTAATGTTAATATCCATTAATTTTTCATAACATAGTGAAAAAGAGTCAAAGTGGAAACAGGACCTGTGTAATGGCTTTTAGCAGATGATATTAAGAAAATTTGAGAGTGTAAATTTTTAGTCTTTTCCCTATTCATAGTCTTTACCAAAACCAGATAAGGTCATCTGTAACCCAGATTACAGGTAACCTTGTGGACAGCTATTGATAAAAGAGGCAGAAACAGGTGTACAGCCCAACCTTTTTATTTGCTTGCACATAAAAACATGGAAACAAACCTTTATCCCAAAATCTGTCTCGCTACCCTTGACAGCATAACATAGATTCTCACCTATACTGGTTGGGGAGACTTGAGAGATGGGAGGAGGGTAGCGCACAGATTGGCAGTAGGTCTTGTTGAATTTGCTGAGGTCTCCAAATTTCCCTTTGGCCTAAGCCCAATATTTATAGATGGCTGGTTCTAATATTTTAATAAATCATCCCTGATAGGCTTTATTTAAATTTCTTTTTTTTCACTGAAACTTTTGGAACTAGACTAAACCAGATTTCTTATGGACTTGGAAGGTGTCAGTTAGTTAGGATTTATATCCTTACGAAAGAAAGAGGGAGGGTTTCTAATCTCCTTTCCTTCCTCATTGAGTGCTGTTCAACACTGCCATGTTTCTTCTTTATCTTAGTTTATGGTCTTCTCTGACAAGGATATTTGTGTTTTTACAAAGTATCTAAGCATCTTAACAAAAATATATCTATTGTAGCGAAATGACTTCTAATACATTCCGTTACATCAATCACTACTAATATTTTAATATGAAGCTATGATATAATGCATTTGGATTATTTAATGTATGGTCTCCCCTTATCTCCTTTCAGGCTTTGTGCTTTGTTTAATTGTGTTTGATGGCTTCTCTTACTTTGCCGACCAAGCTAGTTGCCACATCTGCAAAGGTTCATACTACAGTCACTCAGAAACAGGCTTTGGGGCCTTTTGCTTAGCCACACTTCTGCAGCTTGTTCTAGGCCCCTTGAAAATGGCCACGGCTGGCAACATGTCCTAAATTATTCTCTGTGATAGTAGAAAACTTAAATTAGTAGAAATATATTCTCCTTACATGCATTTGTGTTTTTGTTTTATAGGTATGTATCTAACTGATTTGATTGAAGAATATTTCGTGTCCCCCACCTTGTTCAGAGTCATCCGACTTGCCCGAATTGGTCGAATCCTGCGACTCATTAAGGGAGCTAAAGGGATTCGCACTCTGCTCTTTGCTTTGATGATGTCTCTTCCTGCTTTGTTTAACATTGGCCTCCTGCTGTTCCTGGTCATGTTTATCTATGCCATATTTGGGATGTCCAACTTTGCCTATGTTAAGAAGGAAGCTGGGATTGATGACATGTTCAACTTTGAAACCTTTGGCAACAGTATGATCTGCCTATTTCAAATTACCACATCCGCTGGTTGGGATGGCTTGTTAGCACCAATTCTTAACAGTGGGGAACCAGACTGTGACCCATATAGAGTTCACCCTGGAAGCTCTGTTAAAGGAGACTGTGGTAACCCTTCCGTTGGGATTTTCTTTTTTGTCAGTTACATTATCATATCATTTCTAGTTGTAGTAAACATGTATATTGCTGTGATTTTGGAGAACTTCAGTGTTGCAACTGAAGAAAGTGCTGAGCCCTTGAGTGAGGATGACTTTGAAATGTTCTATGAAGTTTGGGAAAAGTTTGATCCAGATGCAACACAGTTCATAGAGTTTAGTAAACTGTCTGATTTTGCATCTTCACTGGATCCTCCTCTCCATTTACCAAAACCAAATATAATTCAGCTTATTGCAATGGATCTGCCCATGGTAAGTGGTGACAGAATTCATTGCCTGGACATCTTGTTTGCTTTTACAACACGTGTTTTGGGTGAAAGTGATGAAACAGATGCACTTCGAATACAAATGGAAGAACGTTTTATGACTGCAAATCCTTCCAAAGTCTCCTATGAACCAATTACAACCACATTAAAAAGAAAGCAAGAGGAACTTTCTGCTACTGTTATTCAGCGTGCTTATAGACTATACCTTTTAAAGAAATCAGTGAAAAAAATTTCATTTATGTATAGCAAAGATAAAGTTGATCTGCCTATGAAAGAAGATATGCTTATCGATAAGCTGAGTGAAAATTCAGGTCCTGAAAAAACAGATGTGACCTCATCCACAACCTCTCCACCATCCTATGATAGTGTAACAAAGCCAGACAAAGAAAAATATGAAAAAGACAAATCGGAAAAAGAAGACAGAGATAAAGATATCAGGGAAAGTAAAAAGTGAAAGGAGACAAAGACAAATTGTTCATGACAAATTGTTTACAGCCTGAGATGGTGATATTTTTGTCAATAGGGCTCCTTTGGGAGCTCTATGCCAAACTGACATATTTTTACAAATATACCCACATACTTAAGGTCAGTGCCTATATAAAGACAATGACCCCTCATTATCCAACTGTGACTCTGTAACCAGGGCAACAACCTTGCCAGGAAATTAGTTTTCATGATCATTTGGCCCTAATGAAGAGACAACACAAAATGGCGACTCAGACTGTAGGGACCATTGTAAGGGGCGCAAAATTATAATTATGTGTATGTTAACAAAAACACGTTAGTGGAGCAGTTGTATCCACTGTGTGCATTTCAGCTGCCACATTTGTCCTAGTGTTGTAAAGAGTTTTGTTGGTACAAACATTTGTTTTAATTCAGATTGTTCTATCTGTTTTTTTTATGTAGTGAAGAGATAATTACTCTTTCACAAATATACCCATGTCAGCTATTTACTTTAAAGGAATAATAAGGTGTGTATGATTCTCTTCAAGGTTAATAAAACACGCACCCCATCCCCCTATACCACTGTGTCTGAGGCCTTGTACAGACTCTTAGTTTCTCCTGGTAGAGTTGCTGCACTCCCAGTAGAAACCACAAGGGTTCAAACGTTCAGGCTTTTTCTCCCAGAGTGAAAATGG